AAAAAGTCTGCATGAGAACCTCAGGGAAGCAGGGGCTGGTCCACACCACTGCCTTCCATTGCTTCCATGCAGTGCATTCACATGGGGCACAGCTGCCACCACCTCCCAGATCAGGGACACTGGTGTCCCCCAGGTCAGGTCCAACACTTCCCTCCAGCTGTGGGGTTCTGCCCTGATGCCACCACCCACCACGTTCTCCTGCAGCCCAGAAGTTCTTCTGGAGGCAATAGGAGAACTTGGGAAGTCCTCCTGGAACAGACTGCTGAGGGAGGTGTTCAAAAAAAAGGTAGATGTGGCACTGAGGGACATGGTCTAGAGCAGCCACAACATGCACACGGGTCGGACTGGATCTGGGTTCTGCTTGTATACAGCTTCACGAAGCACAGCATCCTTCATGAGACAGGAGAAGAGCTGGCTGACATTTCTCAGCTGGCACTTGAAAATGAATTCAGCCAGAAGCTGTCTTCTGAAATCTTCTGGGTGGAATAAAATGATGCCATCTTTCTCCCTCCCCCCCCCCTTTTTTTTTTTTTTTTTTTTTTAAATTTCTTACTCCTCCATTTCTTCAGCTCAAGAAAAAAAAAAAAAAAAAAAAAAACACTATAACTTTATAATCAGTATAGGGCAGTAAGTTTGGTTTTAGTGGTAGTAACCATACCATCATATTTTACTCTGCATTACTTCTTTCTGTGAGAAGCCTGAACTGCTTTCAAACTTTTCAAGCAACACTAAGGCAAACAGGTACCACTTTGTGGACATCTTTTTAATTGAGGGATCTTAAACATGGCCAAAATCCAGGAGGGTAGAGGATGGTTTAGGTCACTGTGGGGACAAGCATAGGGGCAGAGAGTGGAGTCCAACATGGCCAGGGGGTAGCAGACAGCAAGGCAGTGGAGCTGCAGAGCACATACAGCAAGTACAAATGCCTCAGCACAGGCAGTGCAGAGGCGAGGCAGCCCCATGCCCTCCTCCCAAATCTTGCTCTGGAGGTTCACTCAGAGCTACAGAAACTAAAGCTGTGAGAAGCAAAGGAGGCCCAGAAGAAAAAGAAGCTGCAGCTCCAGAGGGTGGCAACCATAAAGGACTAATGGAAGGAACAGCACGCAGGTCTCTTGACATGCATCATAATGGCACACTGGCTGCATCCAGTATTCTGGGAGCAGAAATTTGCTGATTCAGCAGTGGGGCTTCTGGAGTGATGGCAGCTGAGTTTGTGCTAAGCCACTGTCAATTTATCCCTGTAACTGAACAGACACGTTGTTAGCAAGCTGTCACATCTCCAACCTGACTAGTGATTTCTGAGGCATCCCATCCCTTCAGCTGTTTGCCACTGGCTCACACTCCCTCAGGTACAGACATTTTTCCTGCAGCAGAGCGCTCCCCTCCTCCTCTCCAGCCCAGCTGGCTGTGCAGCATCACATCACAGAAACCCTCATGCAGCACCAGAAGAAAACAGCTGGGGAAAGGTTGCCATGTCACAAGCCCTCCTCCACGCAGACTACAGACTGATACCATCAGTTCTCAGTATCTGGGGTACTGAGGGAGAAGAAGGAAAAATAAAAGAATATAAATATGTACAAATAAGCCTGATGGAATGCTGTGCTTTCATACCTTTTTGAAGAAAAAAAAAAAATCAAGCTGGAGATGCAGTATGATGTTATAAACAAAAAAAATCATTGTGCAGCATCCTTTATAATGTCTCTGAAAGAGTTTTGCCTTTTTTTTAAAGCATAGCACATTTAATCTGCAACTCAGATAAGGCACCCACAGATAATCAAGAGGTGACTGTGAAAAATCTTTTTTTGAACGACAGCTATAAAAGTTCACACATTTCTTATGACAAATCCCCTAATTATCACTTCCATCAGCACATTGCTAACACATACGCTGGGCACCACTGAGCAGGAGGAAAAACCCAAGCAGGAAGCACCGCAGGCTGAACACTGAGATGATAGAAAGCCCAAATTCTAAGAAGCACTACAAAATGCAAGTGGTCAGCTCAGACAAGGATGGGGTTTTTAACTTGACATCTGGACAACATAATGCCAACAGTGCTGTATAACAGTTTACAGAAACAGCCCCAACACTTCTCTGTCACAACCTCAGGACAGCAGCAGCCAGGAAAGGAGCAGAGCAGCTCCTTCACAGCTCACCATCAACCATGCACAGCAAAACTTGGCCTACGTTCACCCTAGCAGCTCTTGTTTGCCCAGAGACATACATGAACATGGCCCTAGAGGAAAAGCAAACCACATTTTCCAGCTCTCCCTTGACAAGAGGCCTGCTTTATGCACAGTATGCAGGTAATGGCGGTGGCAGCTACTTCCCAGAAGTGGAGCTGACTTGCAGAGACTGTTCAGGTTTCAGTAGCACTCAGTCTAGCTTGTCATTAACCCACAGCCACTCACAAAATTCACATCCAGATCTGATGAGGACTTCAGATACACCCTCTATTGCAACACAGGGCTTGGCTGCTCCATCCATTACAAAAACACACATCTCCAAAACATGGTGTTTTACCCAAGACTGGATTCCTGGCTCTTCCTTGAATACAGTTCATTTATTTACTTGTAGGCTAGTCAGAGCATCTGTTTCGAAGAAGGATGGAAAGGCCCGTTCAGATCAGATATGATTCATCCTGACTCCTCTCTAGTTAAAGAAGAAGAAAGCATCACCTGGAACCCTCACCACCTTGTCATGCACTGGTAGCTGCAGTCAAGGCAGGAGAGGTAACAGCGGTAAAGCCCACCTAAACATCCAACCCTCTCTTCATCTCAGATCGAATCCTGAGCAGATCACAGCTGTTAACACGAAGCCCTGCCAAGGCAGTTTCTCACTAGTAGTAGAGTCCAGTTTGGACACACGTCCCCAGAGTGCATCTCCAGTGGAGAAGCCCAGGGGCAGCCATCCAACCAGCACAGCCTGAGCTCACTCCTGGCCGTGTGCCGATGATTCACCAAGGCTGAAGCTGCTCTCTGGGATTAGCCCCTTGGTCTGGCAGCTCTACACCAACACTGGCCATAGGTGTCCACACAGAAGTCCCAGTGGCCTGTGAAGCATGAGAAGCACTGGAGATGGACACCAGCCAACAGGAGAACATGGAGGAGTCAGATTACAGAGGCAATGCTAAAAACGCTATTTTTGTCCCTGTGTTTCATAAGGGAGGCTCAAACCCAAACATGGTGTTTTTCCTCCTCCTTGAGTCACTGGGATCACTTTCAATAAGCCATGTGTTAGCATCCACAAAGGCAGGGCAGCTTTTCAGCTCGTGCTTCTGGCAGGAGGGAGCGAGCAGAGTGGGTGCAGCAAGGCAGCATGACAGCTGAAACTGCGCCCACGGCATTAACTTTCCAGAGGTGTTGCCATCACTGCAGATGTTACAAAGCTGCTCTGGGCCAGTAAAACAGTGATGGAGACTCAGGCCAGACAGCTGACCCACACTCACTGCTTGGGTGCCTTTGTGAGGAACACAGCACAGAGGCACTGAGCAGATACCAAGGGACCCCAGCACAGAAGCTCCTGTTTCCATGTTTTCAAGCCCTGGCTGAAGCTGGCTCCATCACAAGGGCCTCCAAATACTCAAAAGTTCCAAAGGTCTCAGCCTGCCAATGACCCAGTAAAGCAAATTATGATTTGGAAGCAAAATATTTACGTAGGAGAGTGGGTAAAGTGCAGCAAGCTTTATGAAATACACTGCAGAACTCCATATGCAGATACCATGTACCTGGAAAGCTCTCTGGTGTGCTTGTAACAGAGACCTATAGAAAATCCTAAAATGGAAGGGCCTGCTAACTAAGCACCAGAAAGATTTTATGGATACCAAGTCAGGAAGGAAAGGCTGCTTCTTGGTGCAACTCATTTAATTTTCCTCTTCAAGGCAATGCCTTTCTTGTTTTGGAGATCAGTTTGCTTTTGCCAGATGGAATCAAAGTCATCACTGTGAATTCAGCTTTTTTTCTTGTTTCTTGGAAAGCACCAGCCAGTACCATGTCAAGAAAAACAAACAGAGAGGTTTGCTTAGGATCTATTTAAAGCACTTCAGCAGTGGTAGCTCCAATAACAACCCAAGCACTGATGCTTATGACAGAACTGGGGCTACTGTGCACAAGAAGGGCAAAAACACTGCAGAGAACATGCTGTCTGGTGGGCTTTCATACTAAGTCAGTCTTTACATTTTCCTCTTTTGCCAAAGAGGTCAAAGTCACAGTCAGAAAACTTGGTATGAGACAAACGTTTCAGAAAGGGTCAGATCCAAATGGAAAATTCTCAGCAGCCAAGGAAGAGAAGCAGTCTACCTAGAAAAAATGAAAATCCCTGTGAGAAGACCATGCTGGCTTTGCTCCATTCATTGAGCAGGCATGGAAACAGTCCCAAAATGATGCAGAGGATGCCTAAACTGAAAAGCTCAGATTCGGTGTTGCACAATCCAAGCAGGAGGGCACAGTTCCAGCATCCAGAGGGCTACTACTTGCAGTCAGTGGCCATATAGGAGAAGCCTTGCAGCTCAACTTCTGCAAGCTGACACAAGGTCTACTGACACTGCTCTTAGTGCTGTGGGCAGAAACCAGCCAGGAAGTGGTCATGATGAGCCTGGAGCCTGCTGAAGGCCCTGTCTCACCTGCATTACCCTGGTTGGAAAGCATAGGTAACCACACACCTGAGAGCCCTGCCCCAGCAAGTGCAAGGGTAACTCCCCTTTACACTACAAGAGCATCAGGAGGCTAACGTCATTAGCATCTGTAAAACACTAATGCTCTCTGCGTGGAGCATTATTAAACAGCTGTGCAGAGGAAAGCCAACCATCTTTTACTTTTGTTAATATAAGGTATTCTGCTAGTACCTACCCTCAGGTACTGGTAACAACTATGCTTACAACTGGGTATTTGCTACCACCTCAGCCTGCTGCAGAGATGCTGACCCATAGCTCTAAAAGAATCTCAGATACAGATCCTCCATGAGGAATCTGGTGCTGTCCCACTCACAAGCATACCAGTGCTCACCTCTGTCCTCTGTGGCTCTTTTCTGTAAAAGAGACATTCATGAGCTCCTTAGAAGTGGATCTAATCCAGAAAGTATCCAAGACATTCAGGAAAAGAGAATTTCATAGCATTGGAATTTTTCCATGCCAGCACTTTTTCATCCTAAGATAAATGGCTTTTACTTGCACAGCTAAAGGCTCTATTATTTTCAAAATACTTCTCAGCTTCAAAGCAGCAGTGGAAATTGGCTGTGCACCTGGCTCGCTGATCCAGTCTGGATTCGGACAAACAGCAAAAGGAGTCTTTCTTCTCCGCAGTAGTGAGCAGTAGTTTGCTGGGCCGCAGACAAGCAGGCAGGAGGGCTGATGTACAAAGGCTAGCACATAATTAATCACAGGGTGCACAAGCAGGGCTTGAGTAAATGGCAAGAGAGGAAGAAGCGGGGAGGAAGCACCCTGCTTGGGAGAGCTGGGGACTGCGTTTGTATTCCCACACAGGGCTTCACATTCGCATGCCAAGCAACTCGCCCAAAGACCATGCAAGAGCAGAGAGCAGCCTCAAGGCTCTGCAGGGTCTTCTGGGAAGTCCTAGGGGTGCCTGGAGCTACCTATGCCCTTGCTGTGGTACACAGCAGGAGGAGCCAGCAGGACTGTGCCAGGCAGGCAGGTTTCCACCACACAGATTAGCACAGAGCTCTGCTTTGATGGCCCTTTCCAGAAGCAGGCTGTGCTCCTGGGACACTGCTCTCTGCCTCCGTCACTCCAGTCCCTGCAGCCACTGCCAAGCACACCGCTTGCAGGAGCTTGCGCAATGCCTGGCCATGCTACACTTGACCCCAGCTGGGGTTGTTGCTCTCGCTTTCGAGAGCCATGGTCATAAAAAGAGAAGGGATTTGCTGGCCAAGGAGCAGCCCAGCCTCGCTGACGCAGCGCAGGCTCCCAAGGTCAATGGCTGCAGCTCCATGCTGGGGGAGGACGCGCAATGCCTAATGTGGAAATGTTTGTATTTGGAGCAATATATAGTTACATCCAGCCATTAGCAGCTGCAGAGGCTGTTTACTGTAACACACAGTCCCAGGCCTATTAGCTCCATGCCTAACAGGGACCAGACTCAGAGGAGAATGGCTGTGAAGCCGGACATTGTAGTTATATCTTTGCCAAGATCCCAACAATACTTTTCTTGATAAGTCTGGCACAGAAACAATCATTTAAAGAGCTGAAAAACATAACATCTACAGCCTATCCCTCCAGCCAGAAGGGGAGTTGTACAGGGCTTGCAGCCTAATCTTCCACAGCCCCAGTGCTTCCCTCCTTTCACAAACAGCTGGCAATTCATTTCCTGAAAGCCTGCATGTAAGCATTCAACAGGGACACAGCACCACTGCAGCCACACTTGGCCACCTGCACACATCCTGCCCATGTGGTGCCATCTTCTGTACAAGACCCCATTCAGGAGTGCCTGAGAAGAATTTTTTCCCTCCACCCCAACACACACAGAGACCCTCACAATGGGGAAAGGACCGGCTGCAACACCACAGCACACATCCATGCAACACTCCATAAACCAGCTGCTAAGTTAAAAAACAAAAGCAGTACTCATTAGCTGTTTTCCAGGGACCCAGAGAACACTATCTTCTTGGCTAGGAGAACTCAACATCAACACTGGGAACCACAAAGCTCTGCTGGTTCACATAGTTTCTGACCTTGGCTAGCAGATAAAGCTGCGCAGTCTGCTTTTGTTTTGCAGGTACCAGGTGTTGTTGAAGGTCAGTGCTGAGGAAAGGGTTCTCCCACAGTCAGAAGGTTATAGAGATTTTTTTTTTTAATGCAACATAAGCTTGTCGATGATTAACAATTTTTTTTCAGTTAACTGCAAAGTTAATAGTTATTCAAAGCACTCTATTGTAATGCGAGTGGAGATTGGGAGACATACTGCATTAACCATTAATCTTGGACTGTGCTAGAAAAATTGAATTGGGGTATGGCACATAGGTATGATTAATTCTGCTTGCAAAAGGAGGAGGAGTCAGTGTGTGCTTTGGGCAGGAGTGTTCCCTCCTGACAGCAGACTGCCAGGCACAGGCAAGGATGTGCCACTGGGCAGGCTGTCCTCCATGTGCATTGCTGTGCTTTCAGCTGCATTCCAGCTGAAACAGTGTTCTCTGTTTCAAAATTCACATTGTTCATTCTCACTTCTCTCCAAAGTCTCTAAACTTTAAGGAGTGGGTGAGGTTTTTTTGGAAGAGAAAGAAAAGCCAAACTGTGTAATTTGAGACTGTGAAAGAGTTGCAGACAGGGAAGCAGCCCACTTGTACCACTTCAGTGTGTAGGTCTAGGGAGAAGAAAGGATGGTTTCCCAGAAAGCTGGGTCTCTGTAAAGCCACTCTTGCCTTGGCCCTGCTGCTGTACACTTCCTCTGCCCAGGGCTCACCAGTACCCCCCACCCTCACCCTGTGCCCAAATTGCTTTTGCAGAACACTCCAGTCCTGCTGACATACACCACCCCACTGCAGCAGGCACAAAGGCTCATGGAGTTTGACACCATCAGGTTATTTTCTGCTCACCAACACACCTTCAGAGACCAAGGAGAGCACCAGAGGCAGGTTCAAGAGGCATGCTTCATACTCCCTGTCCCCCAGTACAAGGACATTTGGCCCTGAGTTTTGATTTCTGCTATGGGAGGAACAGAAGACAGCTGCAAGATCTGAGGCTGGATTTTATCTTCCTCTTCCCCACCCCCACCTCCCCCCCCAACCCCAGCCTGCCAAAAGCCCCCTTCCTGCTCCTACCAGGAACTTTGACCCTGGCCATACTGCAGGCCTGAATGACTGGATTCCTGAGGATGAATCAGAGCTCTTCAGAAGCCAAATCCCTCCTCCAGCTCAGCTGTACCTATGCATGCCTGCACAGTTGTTTTTCTTCAGAGTCAGAGTTTCCTCGTCCCAGCTAGAAGTGGAAGTGTTAAGCTTTTGTGAGCGGCTGCCTGTTTTTATGAATACTATCTCAGCAATGGGTGTTTCTGTGAAACATGCTAAGTCTCCAGTTGTTTAAGTCATCACACATTTCCCAATGTTTTCTGCATTCATCTGAAGGCAGTGCCAATGTAACGTGTTCCTTACAAGAGAACTGGGCCAGCGCACAAGAAAACGCTTCTCTCTCTTCCTGCTCACAGCCTTCTTCACAACACACCAATCAGCAGATGTGCCATCAGAGAGGTGCAGCTCTGCAACCCAACAGTGCAGCAGAATGAGTGCACATCGCTTCCTCCAGTAGTCCCAGAGCACAGCATTAACAAGGCCTGCTACCGCAGCCCATGCCCAGCAGTAGAAATGGTGTGCCCCAGGCAACATGCCAAAACAGGGAAGAAGGGGAGAGGTTGACAGGACAGGAGGGAGTGTCCCATCTTGCCCCATTCAAAGAAAAGCAGGTAATAGCAGCCTGCAAAAGCCAGGGCTGCAGGAACAGCCTGAGCATATTTGCCTTTGAGAAAGAGTTAAGAAAAATGAAGTCATAAACAAAGATGTATGTTATGGCATATCTATAATGGCACTGTAACTGCTAGGATTTAGGGAACAGTTGACCTACAACTTGGCTACCTTACCCCAAGATAACTGAGAGCAGCAGTCAATGGGTTCTATTCTTCCATACACCCTTACCCCAAGCACCTCCCTGCACAGCCGTCAGCAAAGATTGACCCACAATGGTCTTCAGGATAAGTCTTCCATGCTGGTGCATGCTCTCCATGTTCACAGGCCAAGCTGCATTCCATCTAGAGGTGCATCACTAGTGGGTGCACTACAACAGCAGCACACCACAGCATAGAACATCACATCCAGGGAGCCTCATAACAGCACTCAGCCCAGCCGTGGGACCAAATTGTAACAGGGCCCTATAAAAACAATGCTCCCACATGAAAGTTTCCAGCAAGAACCAAACATCTGGCAGAAAACACATTCTGGAGGAGACTAGAAACAGAAGCAGGCTTAAAGGAGCCAAATCCCATCTGGCTGATGGCAGAAGCAAGGGTCCAGGCAGCTTTTTTGGAGAAGCAGCTGACCTGCTGTACATCGTCTACATTTACGCAGAAAGCACCTGGACATGGTATCTGAAGGGGCAATATGTAAGACCACGCCACAACCAGCAGAAAAGGAAAAGTGTTACAGCTCCAAAAGCAAGTATGTTGTGAGTTGTGGCAAAGTCTCACCGAGACTGAGGCACTGACCCCACTCTGTACCATTAACTATCCTACAGCTGTATCTGACAAAGTCCAGTCATGCTGCATTTGCATCTCTTCCCCACTTCCCAATCCTGCCACTTCCATTTACTGGCAGAAGTTGCATGAGAAGCCATAAATTCACTGGAAGTGAAGGTGCAGCAGTAATAACAAGTCATCATGCACAAAACAGCTGCATGCAAAGCTTCCCTCCAGCTCCCACATGCTGAGCAAAGTGCCCCCCACCCCATATCAGGATGTATCCATGCATACATGAAATTTATTTTCTCACCCTACAGTACGCAGCTGCTTCTGCCCAAATCTCCCCCAGCCTCCAGCCTCCCCAAACTGGCTTTCTCTTCCCTGTTCCCACTACATTTGCAGTCTCACATTAAGATGCAGTCGCTCCCATGCACAGAGCCCCTATTCCTATCTCCACACAGTCCAATTACCAGAGCTACTGAGCTGCAGAGGTGAGAAGACAAGGATTTCCTTGCACATGGGACCTTCCTTGCACATGCCCCCACAGCAGCCCCAGGGCAGCTACCTGCATGCACTGTGAGGCCTCAGTACCACCAGTGCACCTGCTCTGTGGTGTTATCAGCCTCTCAGGCTGCAAAACTGGCAGTCTGCTAATAGCATGAGTCACGCAGAAAGTCTCATATCCTTCTCCAGTTCAAAGTGTTTCCTAGAACTGCACTGAGAGGCCTTGAAGACTGTTTACTGAAATTAAAAATTCCCCTCCCGCTTTTGCGCAGCGCTGCTTGAAACGTGTCTGTGTTTTGCTTTATCTCATGTCTAAAATCTCCTCAGCAGAAAATAGGTAGTGATGAGAGAGGAAATGGGAAAAGAGCAACCAGAAAGCTCACCTATTATTATACAAAATACAGAGGCAGGAGGCAGACGGTCTTCTGATTCACATACCCTGCATGGACAAGAAGATTGCTGAGAACTGGCAGGGCAAGGCAGGGCAAGTGCATTCAGTCCACTGAGGATGAGGAGCAGAAGAACACACTGGCATCGTCTGACCTCAAAACCACGACAGAAGGTAGAACTGACATGAACAGCTTCCAAATTTTGGAGTCCACATCCCAAGTGGGTGGGACACATCTCCCTCACAGAAGGAGAGCAGAGCAAACAGGTGACAGGAGCTTGCAGAGGCACCAAGGAGCCAGGCAGACATCCCCCAGGGCCAGGTTGCTAAAAGAAGCCCTGCAGGCCTGATATGCAAGTCATATTTGGAGAAAGCAGTTTTACTGCTTTCTGCTTTGCTGGGGAGTCAAGAGCTGACAGTACCATATTCCAGAAACACTTATTCCTCTGGAAAAAAAAAAAAAAAAAAAAAAAAGACAGTGAGAGAAAAAAAAAAAAACAAAATCACATGTAAGCAAAAGCACAAAGATTCAGCTAGCACTGTGCCCAGAAAGATCCCTTGCTGCTCACTTGTGCTCTTCAAAGGAAGAGAAGGGTTGGTACATCTCCATTGCTGACCCAGAGAGAGGCACTGCATTCACATTCTCTCTCAACAGGCTTATCTGCTGACTGATTGCACCAAAAAGCCCTTGCATTGTGCTCTATTAAAATGCCAGT